TAGAATAATTATACTAATTATATATTAGATTTTTTTATATTTAAAATGAGATGTTTATCTTATGATTATGAATAATTGTTATTAGTTATACATATTCAAACATAAAGTTTTAATAAATTGCACTTATACACAATTTACTTGTAAACTTGAATTTTAAGTAATATGCATCAATAAACAGTATTTCATGCACAAAAATGGTTTTTAAGAGTTTTTATTAAAATGTTTTATAATATAACTAGAAAGGTACTCGTGCAATGCATCGAGACATTTCGGTTTTAATGTTTCGTTATAATACGGTTTTATGTGGTTTTGAGAAAGTGATAATGTTATTTTTAAATAAAATATATATTTAAAAATATTATAAAATTTTGAAAAAAAAAATATATCGATATTAGTATCAAATTAACTATTTAAAAGTTCTTGTTTTGTGTATTTTCTTTAATTTAAAATTTTTCTTATAATTTAATTTAACGTAACAAAGTAACTTAATTTAGGTTTAATAATATAATCTTTTATAAAGATAATAATTAAGTATTTTGTTAGAACTCAATTATTATCTTAATTATATTTTAGATTTTTTATATTTAAAACAAGATAAATCTTGTATTTGATTATGTTTATCTGCAGTTAGTTCCACGAATTTAAACATGAAGCTTTAATAAATTGTACTTACACATGATTTACTTGTAATCTTGAATTTTAAGTAATATGCATCAATAAACAGTATTTCATGCATAAAAATGGTTTCTAAGAGTTTTTGTCAAATGTTTTATAATATAGTATAGATATAAATAAATGTTTATGGTTTACGGTTTACGATTTAATGTTTCTAAAGTATGAATTACGTTTTTGCTCTTATGGTTTGTATGCATATCAGACATATATAAAAAGAGTTTATTAAATTTTAATTTTAATTAAATTATGTTATAAATTTAAGAAAACATTTTCTTCCAATTTAATGATGTGATTTTATTTTTAAAATCATTTATATATTTATTAATAATTGACTTTAATTCTTTTTAATTTTAAAATATATTTTATTAAAAAACAAAAATCATCCACTAGAATTTGGAACAAGTCATCAAACAGGGAGACTTATCGTCGGCAGGTTCCCGCAAATTAAGGTGTTAAGTATCGTCAATCATCATCATAAATAAAACAAAATAAAATAAAAGTAAATAAAAAACTTTTGAAATATTAAACCGGGAGTTACGAATTATCAATTAAGCCCCTTGACTTTAAGATAATTATCAATTTACCCCCCTAATATTCATAGCTATCTTATCCATATTGTTTTTACAAACAATTGTCGTAAATTTTTGAAAAGATATAAAAGTAAGAGTAAATTGTCTCAAAAAGTAACGTACTTTTAAAACTTTCATTTTCATACCTAAGATGTAAAGTTTTAAATATTTAAGCATCTGGGTAACCGGTTGAAGCGTTAACCAGTTATCATGCTGATGTGGTATCCAACTCGGTATTATTTGCTGACGTGGTTAGTGACATGAATTTTTTTTAATATAAAATTAGTCTTTTTTTAATTTAAAATTAGTCTTTACTGGTTACCCGGATACTTAAATATTTAAAACTTTACATCTAAGATACCAAAATGGAAGTTTTGAAAGTACATTACTCAAAATATGAATCAAATTAAAATACGTTACTTTTTCATGCAATTTGCCTAAAAATAATACCAAAGTTGAAAAGTAAAAATTTAAAGAAGGTGAGACTTGAACCCGGGTTTTTCACTGAGTAATTTTTACCAACTATATCATTAAATATTTAAATCAAAGCTTCAGTCTCAAAAACTATATCATAACACCGTTATGAAACAATTTTTTTTTCTTTTATGACTATATGATTTTGAGAAAGATATTGTTTTTAGTTTTGAATAAAAATAAAATTTGAAGATATTATAAAATTTAAAAAAAAAATATATCGATATTAATATCAAAATAACTATTTAAAATCTTATCTGTTTTTATACAAATTTTCTAATTCAATTTTTTATTATAATTTATTTTACGGTTGATAGCAAAGTAATTTATTTTTTGTTTAACAATATAATTTCTATAAATATAACAATTATGTAATTAATTATGTTTATTTGTAATTAGTTACACAAATTCAAACATGAAGTTTTAATAAGTTTTAATCTTGAATTTTAATTAATATATATTAATAAATAGTATTTTATACATAAAAAAATAGGTTTTATCAAATGTTTTATAATATATCGTAGATAATCATTTAAATTCAGGGTTTTAATAAAAATTTATATTAATATTTTATTTTTGATTTACAATACAGTACTATATGTATTGGTAATTTAGTGTTAAAAAAGTCCATCATTTAATGCGATTTTTGTGAACCTAATATGTGACTTTTTCTGGTCTCCAGATTTGACTTTTCCAATCCAGAACCACAAGTCTTCGATTTTTATAAGAGTTTGACTTAAAAAAGATAGAAATTGCAAGAATATCTCAAAACCTCCGAATTAGGGGCCGTTTACCAAACAATTATTCGGTAAGTGTTTTCAGGTAAAATTTAACACTATCATTTACTTACTGAGTAAGATTTTACTCCACTAAAACGGTATCATATGCAATAATTTACCTAGTAAGCACTCATCGTAATAACAATCATCTCACTTACCGGATAATACTTTTGGTTCTTGTCTCGTTTTTACCGGATAAGATTTTTGGTCCTTACCATCTTCATCCGGTAAGGTAATATGACTTGGTATTTACTTACCCGAGTAAGCATTTGGTAATCGGTCCCTTACTTTTTAAAATAGTCCTATAGAATAAGGGTGTCGAGCTACTAGAGTGATAACCTGACTCTGATACCATGTAAGGATACGTAGAATTCTCATATTACTCTCCAAAAGTGGCCTTGAACAGAGGACAAAGGTTCCAAGATATACAGGGGAAAAATGGTCCAAGTCTAACCGACATGAGACTAACAAAAACCAACTGGTTTGATTTTGTGAACCATCAATAGTGAATCTTGAAACAGAGCCTGCAACTTATGATTTCCATGTCAGATTAGTTTCATAGGTGAGAGGAATCCCAGCTTGCATAAACAGCCCCAACAATTTTGTCATGCAAATTCACCCCGGAACACGCAACGATCCCCCTATCGACACCTTCGAGATACACCCCTCTCGAGAAATCCAGCGGCCGACCACCAGCATCCGTCACAACCCCGCCAGCCTCCTCCACAATCACCACACCAGCAGCATGATCCCATATCTTCTCCTTGTACCCAGCTTTAGCAAACTTCATGTATATCTCCGCATCCCCACGAGCTATCGCTGCGTATTTCACCATGCTATACACACGCAAAGGCTGCTTTCTGCAATAATGAAACGAAAAAAGAACGGATCTTTATGTAAAAAGGGGAAGAAATTCAAGAAAATAAGGGGCTGTTAGGTTGGTTTTCCATTAAGTCATGTATAGCTAAAGTTATTTGTGTGAATTAATGTGTCTGAATAGACTGGGAACGTTTTTGTTTGGGAGAGTTTTTTCAGGAGAGAAGAAGCATGTTCTTTTAATTGGGAGGGCAGGTTTGTAAAAAAAACTTGGCTCTCTGCAAAAAGCTCCTCGTTGGAAGCTTACGAAACAAGCCACTCGCTATATCATTAACCCACTACCAAACGGTCATGTATAGCTGACCGAATAAGTTGTGAATCCTATTAAGCTCATTAAGCTGCTAACAAACAGAATCAAGAAAGTAGGAATTTGAGCTCGAACTCACCTAAGCCCTAAACTGTATGCGAGTCCAGCAGTGTAAGAATGGTTCGAGTTGGCTCTCTCCACCGGTTCACAAAATGTAGCCATTGCAGGGTTATCAATGGAAGAAACCCGTATAATGCTAGCCGAATTAGGCCACTCCAAGATCCCGTCACTATGAACCAACGGCTGCATCCAAGCTTGGCCGCTACCTTTTCTTGTGTACATAACACACCCTTCTTGCCACAAATCCGACGATAATTTCGAGACGCTTGAATTGTTTACCAATTTCTTTTTACTCGAATAATTTGGGCACCCAAGAACTCCAATCATAACCTGCCCGTTTTCAATCAAAGCCAGAGCCACGGCATACTGGTCTCCACGTACAAACCCTAAAGTTCCATCAACTGGGTCAAGGACCCAATGCCGTCCCACTGGACCCCCTGTTGAATTGCATCGGCTTATGGCATCAAGAACTTCTGAAGCCCCAAGGGGGGTGGCTGGACTTTTAAGACCGAACCTGGGTGCCATAGCCAAACTTTCGTTCACGGTTGCAACCACAGATGCTAGTAAACTTGTGGCATTGGCATCGGAGAGTGTTAGCGTGTCTTCTTCAGCAACAATCGAGACATTTTCTCTACCAAATAATTCGGATAACATCCAGCTAACCGTTGCTTGTACACTCCAATCTGTTTGTAAATATAAAGTAACATATTGCATCTGAATGAACATGGAAATAAAAGAGGTGCTAATTCTCAGCAATTCAGCCACACATAAAAAAAAGTACTTGAAACCTTTTGTAAGCAAAATAGTGTCTTACAAACCAAATAAGGCCAGTATATCCCACCTAGAGGTGGAGTCCGGGAGGTGGGATGTACACCTGTCCTCAATCCCAAACAGTAGAGCGGTTTTTTATGTGAATCAGCTAAATAGCACCTATTCGGTCAGCAGCTTAATGAGCTTAATGGGACTCGCAGCTTATTCGGTCAGCTATATATGATTGCTTGGTAATGGCTTAATAATATAGAATAGCTTATTCAGCTTTTAGGGGGAGCTTTATGCAGAAAGCCAAGTTCTTTTCCAAACCAGATCTTCTTGAATAAAAAAACCCTCCCAAACAAAAACCTTCCTCATCTATACAGACAGATTATTAATCCACACTAACAACTTTATTCATACAGGATTTGATAAAAATCCAACCAAGCAGCCCCCTAATCAGACATGAATCGGCTAGACCATGACAATTTCTTTCAAGCTACTGAGCCTATAAAAGCCAAACCTGAACATGCTGAGATAAACACATTTCAACAGGTCATCCATGGACGGTCGTTGCTTGTAAGAGCAAAGCTATATAAACCCATTTTTTTAACAAATCAAATATTATGGATACCCAAGCCTATATGCTAATATCTACTTTTGCTGCCTGTTTGCTCACACTATCGCACATGCCAAGGGTCTTCATGGAAACAACCGTTCTACTCTTTTGAATAGAGGTCAAGCCTGCGTAACCCCCCCCCCCCCCCCCGAGCGGGGGCGGGCGGACCCTACTTTCAAGTGGGATTTCCTGGATCTGTTTGGTTACCTAAGCCTGCATACGGAAAAAACCGGAACACGTGGTTCATTTCAAGGAACGGAAATGAGAGTGAGAATGTAATTCCCCCCAATTTGTTCAGGTATTTTTCATTACTCGGTATATGGTAATGGCTCATACCATAGCATCAAACCAAACACCATCAATGATTTCCATTTCCATTTCCATTTCTATTTCCATTCCCCACCCTGATTACCCAACCAAACACCCCCCTTACAAACATTTTTCATCTGCAGAATTCATAAATCTTCTTGTGGAACACTAAGATTACATGGGTTAGGTTCATGGTAAAACTGCAAAAAAAATGAAAAACTGAGAAACACCATGGTAACCGTTTATCTTAAAGGTATGCGAATGTGCATACAAATAATTTATAAGCACTTTGTCTGGTATGCACATGTGCGCATGCATAAAAACCAAAAAAATAGCTTCAATTACTTGTAGGCACATGTACATACTAATACCACCCAGATAAATTGTTACCTGTGTGATCCTCAGTTTTTCATTTTTTTGGGGTTTTCCCCAAAACCTCCCTCTACATAGGATATCTCTAATGCTGCCCTACTCCATCATCACCCATTACCACAATCAAATTTCTTGAAGTTCAATCTAAATTAGGTTTTGGGGTAATATAAAAACGATGAGATGGATCATCTGGTACTGATGAACTATTTGATTACTGGTTTATTCCTGAAAGGGTATACATCTCATGAACCAAATCGCCAAATTACCTGCTCTTTAAACAATCATGTTATAAAAAACAAAGGTCAATTTGATGATGTATTTTTGATTAAGACACAAACAATCAATCTTAATATATATATATATATATGTGTGTGTGTGTGTGTGTGTATAAACAATGCGATAAATCATACAAGAGAACAAGAAGCCCTAAATTTCATTAGAAGAGGAATAAGAAGCAAAAAGACGATGGGCGTACCGGCAACAGTAACAGGTGAATCATCGTCTTTTGAAATGACCTGATCAGGGTTCGGACCAATCGAACCCTTTTGAACCTTCTGACACAGACAACATACCAGTTGAACAACTCTAACACCCACTTCTAATTCTTTAGCATACTTGTTAGCATCAATATTAGCCTCCATGAGTGTTTGATTTTCAAAAAGGTTATTGGGTTAATTAAACCCAAATGGTGATCGACATTTCTTCTGATACCCACCACACCGATCGATCATGTTGACGTTTTAACATTTTTCTGATCGGCGGTACAGCCGGAGATGTAGGCGGCGTGCAAGATTTTCTGATGTGTTAGTTAGGGATAGCAGGATGGATCATCGATTTGAATTATCATCTCTTATGAAAAGAGAACAAAGAATAGTAGGGATTTCTTAGGCGGTTTGCGCGTTTTTCTTCCGTTTCAATCGTCTCTCTTTTCCATCACCGGGGGTTTTACCAAACCGGATGCAGATTACCAAAAGCTTACTCGGGTACTTTGAACACTAAGTTCCATTATCTTATCGGATGAATATGGCAGGACCAAAATTCTTATCCGGTAAAAGCAAGATAATGACCAAAAGTCTTATTTGGTAAGTGAGGGCGATGACTTTTAATGTTTACCGGGTAAATTGTTGCATACGATACTGTTTTAGTGGACTAAAATCTTACCCGGTAAGTAAATGATAGTGTTAAATTTTACTGATAAACATTTACCGAGTAAGTGTTTGGTAGACAGCCCCTAAGTAATGATTGTCTATCGATAAGATTTGATACTAACATTTACTTACAGGTAAGATTTTATTCTATTAAATAAAATTATATGTAGCAATTTATCTGTAATTGGGTCACTCAAATACACTTTAAAAATACATTTTAATATAATTAAAATTACATTGTCTTAAAAAAATACATTATTTAAAAATAAATCTATTTATTAAATTATTTTAATTATTGGACCAGGCCAGTCCGGTCCATAACCGGTCCCACGAAACTGCCAAAAACCCCAACCGGTCCCGGTTTTCGATCCCATAACCGGTCCTGGTCCTCCAGCGGTCCCAGGCCAGGCCGGGCCAATTTGGCCATCACTATATGCTACAAATGGACATATTAAGAAAAAATGATCAGAATATCAGGTTGGGGTTCTTGCCTTCTTCTTGTTGGGGGCCAATAAAAAATTTCACTAAAAAATTATAGCTTTTTTGGACATTTTTGGTCGGTTTTATTGGGGGCCTTCGACCCCTACCAAGAAGCAACGCATCCGCCCCTGAATAAAACTCTTATTCGATTATAGCTTACAGGGTAAAAAACACTTGCTAGCATTGCATTTTAATTAAGGTGACAAATTTGTACAAGTCAAATCAACCAACAAGTATATCAACCGTATCAATTTAATTGGTAACAGTCACAGTTGATTGGTAGTGTTGTATCAAGAATGTAAAACAACAAAAGATGATTGTTTTGGTTTCATCATCGTTGCTTGTAAACTCCTGACCGTATACCAAGGTAGGACAATAATTTGAGTCCTAAGATTTAATCTTGACCGTATACAAAAGTTATTTTGATCACTTATTACTGTTTTCTCATTATTAATTGATTTAACAGTACAAAAATTACAGATATTTTTTAAACATAACTAAAAAGACGACGACTTTTATTTTCTAAATAATTACATCTTCTTATTGATTTGGTCGTTTTCATGCAATGAAAGCTCTCGAAGGAGTAAAGTACAACGTAACATGATCATGTTACTTGATGACGTGTAAAAAGGATATGAAATGATGCACAAAGGTAAACAAACATTCAACCTTGTCGATGGTAGGGAAGATGTTGGGTTTTTGGTGGGAAGAGAATTTGACTTCTAGTAACGAAGGGTTAAATAACAACTTTTAGAGAAAACTACATTTTTGGTCCTCGTGCTTTTTTGTTTTAAAAACCAATTTTTATGCATAAAGTGTTGTTTGTTGATGCATATTACTTAAAATTCAATATTACAAGTAGATTTTGCATAAGTACAATTTATTAAAGTTTCATGTTTGAATTCGTGTAACTAACTGCAGATAAACATCTCATTTTAAATATAAAAAATTTAACATATAATTAAGATAATCATATAATTTTAACAGAATACTTAATTACTATATTTATAAAAAATTATATAATTAAATAACAAATAAGTTAATTCGTTATTATATTTAAATTAAATTATAATAAAAAATTGATTTAAATAACTGACCGAACTTCATTAGATTGGATGCATTTTGCAATTTGAACACAAACATACTTTTATGTTTAGGTTCCATTGCTCCTAAAATACCATATATAAACACCATTGTTGCCAACATCATAACTAAGCCCACCTTCACTCACACATCCTTCAAAACCAACTCCTAACATCCCCCCCCCCCCTTCTCTCTATATATACATACATATATACATATATATATATAGATAGATATATATATATAGATATATGGTGGTGTTTTGCTTTTTGGTGGATCAAAAACGTAAGGTGAAGAGAACGAAGCCGGTGGCGGGATCGTGTTCGAGATGCCGGCGAGGAGCAAGTGTGGCTGAAATCATAACCAAAACCAGATTCTGTCATATCCCATTTCACCGGAGATCTTACAAGGCTATTCTTTGCACTTTCTGTGGTGCCACTCTTAAAACCTATCCATGATCATCTTCTTCTCTTAATTATATTATATTATATATATAGAGAGAGAGAGATTCGATGAAAACCCAAAAAAAAACTGAGAAACACTTTTGTAATCGTTCATCATTTGGAGACTATCTACAAGTGTATACAAGTAATTGAAATTGTTTTTTGGTTTTTTTTTATGGTGCATGTTATGCACATGTGTATACCGGACGAATTGCTTAGAAATTACTTGTATGTACATGTGCGTACTGTCCAGATGAACGGTTACAGTTACCGGGTGTTCATCGGTTTTTTATATTTTTATGGTTTTTCTTCTGAACATGACCCTATATATATATATACGGTTGGATTCCGGTGAGAATGAAAGTTAAGATGAGAAATGTAAGAAGGAATCTTCACTTTTGAATGCACGATGAGATGCATAAGATAAATCCCTTATTAAACATGATTCATGGATGGGTTTGAAATTAAAGGTGATCAACGGTACAGATCTCTTCTTACACTTTTCAGTTTTAAGTCTCTTTTTCACATAATGTTTCATGTATCTGTATATATGCATACGTCATCACCACACCATAGATAGTTAAGCCGGCGACAATATAATTCTGCCACCCAAAACTGCCGTAGCTAATTAATGGTATCGGGTGAACAAATTAAATGAACCTTTTATACGTATAAATAAACAGTAGTGTCTTGTTTTATTTTATATATATATATATATATATATATATATATATATATAGATGTTGGTTATTATACAACCTTTGACATTTGTGCAACCAATACAATCCAATCTCAAACGTCCATTTCATTTGATTAATATGTGATTTCATAAAAGTTTTTATTGTTTCCTGATATAAAGTATCCATCATAATTAATGAATCATATTCATCTTCCATAAATATTCAAATCACAATAAATGAACTCTCATCATTTAACAAACTCTATATATGTATATATGTGTGTATTTGGGTGTTGCAAAGCATTTATAAGACTTGAATGTCGTTTTGAAAATTTAACCTACCCCTTGTTCAATAACACTGTGGCATTTTGATCAGCACAAGTAACTTCTAATAAATGTTACATCTTCCCTATACTATACCGTGAAAGGGAACCCTCGATCGGTCCATCGTACTTAATTATGTCGACACATTTCGTTTCAACGACCACCAAATTCTTAAGCGTTAATTGTTACGAATTATAGGCTGTTACATTTTTTGTTATGATACGAAACTTAACATTAATCGGGTACTCGAAATCAACCGGACCTTACTAGAAAAGAAGGTATCAGTGACGAAAATCAGCAAGAAATTTTCAGCGAGAGAAAGACCAAAAACCAATTCCCTCGCTGATCCGTCGCTGAAAGTAACCATCGCAAATCCATCGCGAGTTTTTGACCGACGGACTATCAGCGACGGGAGACCCTTTTAGCGACGGATTTTGCAAGGGAATTTTCTCTCGCTGATACTCTTCATTTTTGTAGTGAGCGATTCCCAATGCGATTTTTAACTTTGAAGATATGAGAATATGTAAAACCTTATTGAATTACTCTGCAAAAGAGCTTTTAAAGAAAGACGTAAAGAAATAAATAGTTTAAATTTAGCCGACATAAAATTACGCCTTCAAGGGAGGCTATACGGGTACAAATTGTTCCAAAGTTTCACTACAACATAATCGAGTTTATAGAACGTCAACGGTTTTTAGATGTTTCAGTAGATCGCTTTATAAAACTTAAGTTTATATGAACAAACAATGTTTCATCTAAAGATGTTATAATAAATTTATACAACGCTTTTGAACGTCTTAACAAGTTTCTTATAACATTTTTAATATAAAAGCACTATACTACTATTTTATATGACACTTTTGAGAAGTATATTTTTTATACGACGGTTTTTCAAATAATGTCCTACAATGCAACCACCAATTTCTTATAGTCAACCACCTCTTCCGGTGGCGGTCCGGCGAGTTGTTCCATCGGAGAAAAGAAAAGAACAAAGACTACATGATTTATTTTACAAGTTTTTTTGTGGATCCACAAAAAATATATATTTCTTGATATATTTTTTTGTCAAAAAGTTGATTACGAGCAACTTCAACCGATCTGACATCAATATGAGGGGACATTTTCTGGTTTACTCAACGGTTGAGGCTAGCTAGGGTTTGGGATTGAACCCACGACCTATATTGTATTCAGATAAAGTCACCTCATCTCTTTGTAAAATTGGGCTGAAAGATTGTAGGAGTTTTACCAAAAAAAAGCCTTGCAGCCTTGGTCTCTTATGGTGTCATAACATTTTACAGGGATTTTTTTGTCACTTAATACGTATCTTGATGCGGGCCTAGGCGAGGATCGGGTTCCTGGAGGTTCATGACCGGGCCAGCAGAGGATGTCGTGCTAAAACGTTTTTCTATGGGTCTTTGCTTTCAGGCCCATGATACGTTAATTCGAAGCTTGGAATGAGGAGCACGCCCTCATAGACTCGGACCTAGAAAATTTTCAAATGGTGGCACCATTTGACTATAAGAAACAAGATTATGGATAAATCTAAAAAATCATCAATGCTCTGTTGGTTAATTTCTTATCTTTTGTATGTGAGGTTTTGTGTTCGAGTCTTTTGTTGCAATTTTTTTAGAAACATAACAAATATGAAATTAATAGCTAAAAACTAAAAAATGACGGATCCACACCTGAAAGGGGAGAAAATCCATGCAAACCATTGATCTGTCAAGACAAAGTTATGTTATCATTATAGTTTCAAAATATATATGGTGACGGTGACACCCAACATTGTAATATGATGACATCTTTCACAACCTTAAATTTTAATAAAACAGTGGCATGTGCTTTATCTTATTCGTTGGGTCCGTCCATGTGCCCTCGGTAGGCCCAAAAGGGCCTACAGGATTTTGAGACTAAAAAACGTAATTCAAACATGTTTTGAAACACCTTTTTCTTTTTTGCTATGTTTTTATTTGTCGTTTGAGCTTTTTATGTTTGACCCATCATTTTTCAAGCAAGTTTGAAGCCAACCAAGTTGATAATAACAATAACCATGAGTAAAAGGTTTATCATTATGAACATTGTTTGCAATCAAATCATACTTGGAAGGCATAAGCATTATATACATATACATATACATATATATATATATATATATAGACTTTGGATCATGTGGGACCAACTTGTTTTTATGAGGCCCGTAAAACCATTTTTTTACATTTGAAACTTCACAGCAAAACACTGTGAAGTTTACCTTCATAGTGTTTTGCTATGAAGGTTCAATTTTTTGCTACTTTCACAAAGTTTTGTTATGAAGTTTCAAGTGTAAAAAAGTGGTTTTACGAAAACAGTTTAGTCTCAAATGAACCAACCCTATATATATATATATATATATATGGTTGGGTTCACGTGAGACCAAAGGTTTTTCGTGAAACCCGCAAGACCAATTTATGTTTATTGATAATGATCTAATGGTTTAAAGTTGCACGGTAACAATTTTGTGATTATTGAGAAGTCTCATGACAATTTTGTGATTATGAATGTTCAGATTGTAGATATAATCCAAGGGTTGAAAATTGGTCTTACG